AGAAAAGCATGTGCTTTTAGGGTTTTGAAAAGCTTTTGCAATGTAAAAAAGACCTTGGTCAGCCATCTCTGGAGAGACTGAGGCTGCTGCAGAGCTGGAAACAGCTCCCTGTGTGGCCCTGCAGCAGGGTCACCTGGAACCTGAGGAGTTTTTCAGAATGGCAGTCAGCTTCGGGGTCAGCAGATACCTCGGGGGTCAGAAACCTAAGGCCAAGGTGCATGTCAGACCGCTGTGTTTGGAGGTCTTGGGTTTATTGAGCAGATGGGGCCTCCATGGGCCCCTCCTGCACCTGCTGAGCCGTTTTCTTCGTGTTCCCTGTGTGAAAACTGAAAAGCCAAATGCTTAGAGCAGCTCCTGGTACCAAGAAAAGGACTGACTTTGTGCTGCTGTGACAAAATACCCCAGACTAGGCCGTTTCTAAATAATAGAAATGTGTTTCTCAGAGTTCTGGAGGCTGGGAGCCCAAGACCCAGGCCCCGGTAAGTCTGGTGTCTGCTGAGAGCCTGGTCTCTGCCTCCAAGTCGGCCCCTGTTGCTGTGTCCCCACCTGGTGGAGGGCATGGAGGACACAGAGGACTGAGCTGGTTCCCTCCAGCCCTTTACAAGGCTCTACTGTCCCGTGCAGGCCCACAGGACCCGATCGCTTCCCGGAAGGCCCTGCCTCCCAACGCCACGGTAGAGATTTGGAGGGGACACTCAAGCTGTAGCAGGGACCATCAGGATACGGAGTGTCTGAGACAACACAGACTGGAGATCTGGAGCTTGTAGCTGCTGCTCTCAGACCTTCTCTCCAGGAGCCACGCTCAGGGTGGTCAGAGGTGGTGAGTGAGGTGGCAGAGCCGAGTGCTGGGCAGGGGGCGTGCTGCTGGGTGCTCCCTCCACACCTCCTGAGGGACACCAGCCACCCCATGCCTCTTGGGGTGAGGAGCCGGTGCCATCAGCAGCTGCACGGTTGGGGTAGAGTCCCTCTCCTGCCTCTGAGTGGAGGGCTGGGAGCTAGGGAGGATCTTTGGTCTCTGGCTTGCTGGCTTTTTTTTTTTGAGATTGAGTTTCGCTCTTGTTGCCCAGGCTGGAGTGCAATTGTGCGAGATCGGCTCACCACAACCTCCGCCTCCTGGGTTCAAGCGATTCTCCTGCCTCAGCCTCCCAAGTAGGTGGGATTATAGCTATGCGCCACCATGCCCTGCTAGTTTTATATTTTTTGTAGAGATGGGGTGTCTTCATGTTGGTCAGGCTGGTCTTGAACTCCTGATCTTAGGTGATCCGCCTGCCTCTGCCTCCCAAAGTGCTGGGATTACAGGTGTGAGCCACTGCGCCTGGCCGGCTTCCTAGAATTTCAAGGCTCATTTCTCACTCATATGCATACCCTTCATTCGCAGCCCGAGCAGGTCGTCTGAGCAGTCTAGAATGTTCTGTCCATGCTTTCCTTAGAAGAAACCTGCAGGGATGGGAGGGCGCTCAGCAGAGGCAGCAAGGGGTCTCGGGTCTCGGTGCTTCTCACACTGGCCTCCTCGCCGGACCCTCGCCGAAGCTTGCTCTGGCCGTCTCTGTCCCTGCCCATGCCCTGTGGCTCTGTGGCTCGGCCGGGCTGGCCTTGTCCTCCTTTGGCAAGAGGGAGGTGCTTGGCTTTGCCCGGCTGCCTGTTTACACACGTGCTGTGCTGTGTTCCAGGCACCACCAGGCCCTCGGGGAGCCCTCCCCACCCCCGGCTGCTGCACAGTGACCCAGTGGCCAGGGCCACCTTGGCTGTGAGGGGACCATGTGAGCCCCTCCCACATGGCGGATGGAACTTGAGCTTTCGCAAGAGAAAACCAGGGTTTGAGTTTGACAAAAACCAGAGGCCTTGGCAAGGAGTAGGTACGGATGTGGCTGAGACGGGGCCCTGGGCGTTTGCTGAGTGGGAGGGTTCCCTGACCTTTCAGGGTTTGACTGGCTTCCAGTGGCTGAGGTAACCCACGTCAGGTGCCGGAGGCTCTCTGGCTGTCAGCCGGGGCCACTGCACCCGCTAGACTGATGGAAGGGCCTTGCACACGGTTTAAAAGGCCTCTGCACTTGGGAGCCTGGAAGAATTGGAAGGTGTGATCTTTGTGTTTTGAACAAGAGTTTTGTGTTTCACTGCTCAGGTGGAGGTGACCTTCCAACTGCAGTGACGGTAGCAGAGGCTGGGACTGTGCCCGGGGGCGGGGTGGAGGCGGACAGGCGGCACAATCCAGGCCAGCACCCGCCCAGGAGCCTCGGTTCCCACCGTCTCTACAGCCCTGTGCGGCCTTGGCGGGCGGTGTTGGGTGCGGGCTCTGCAGCTGCCGCATCTGGGCAGCCGTGGTTTCGCCTCCACTGACCGTGTCCTCAGAGGCTTTCAGAGCCCACTCATTTCAGGCTCTAGGTGTGCACTTGTGCCCGCGAGGGCGAGTCATGCGTCCGAGGCCTCGATGTGGCTCTTGCGCCATCTGTTGGGTCAGAACCGTCAGTCCTGAGGGTAACTGTCGTGGTTTGAAATGGAAGGAAACTGGCCCCTGAAGGTGTGTAACTTCCCCGCCACCTCCAGGGCATTCGTGGTTCGGCCTGGTGGCGCCCCAGACTGCATAGTCATGGTCGAGGCCCGGCCTCCATACCATCCAGCAGGAGCCTGGGAGGCCACATCCTCAGGCTGAGCCTGGGGCTTGCACATACCAGTGACGCTGATGGGAAAATTCACTTTGATTTGAATGGAAAAGAAATTATTTTGTGACCAAAACATGTGGCCAGTTATATCTTCAAAGATTTGAGTGAGGTGGGGCCTGGTGGCTCATGGTTGTGATCCCAGCACTCTGGGAGACTGAGGTGGGTGGGAGGATTGTTTGAGCCCAGGTCTGGGAGACTGAGGTGGGAGGATTGTTTGAGCCCAGGAGTTGGAGACCAGCCTGGGCAACAAAGCAAGACCCCATCGCTGCAAAAAAATTACGAAGGTTAGACGGGCCTGATGGTGTGTGCCTGTGGTCTCAGCCCCTCGGGAGGCTGAGGTAGGAGAATTGCTTGAGCCGGGAGGTGGAGACAGCAGTGAGCTGTGGTGGCACCACCGCACTCTAGCTGGGAAACAGTGAAACCCTGTCTCAAAAAGAAAAAAATGTTATTCTTTAGAATTTTACTTCTCAGTGATTCACTTTTTATAGGAGAACCACAGAGACAGAAAATATGTCACTTTGTCTTTTAGAGCCCAATAATGTCCTTAGAAAAAAGTAGCTCTGTCCCCAAGGGCCGTGTGCCTTTATAAAAAACAGTTGCCGGGAAGTGTTTAACTTTTTTTGAGACAGAGTTTCGCTCTTGTTGCCCGGGCTAGAGTGCCATGGTGTGATCTTGGCTCACCGCAACCTCTGTCTCCTGGGTTTAAGCTATTCTCCTGACCTAGCCACCCGAGTAACTGGGATTACAGGCATGCGCCACCACGCCCAGCTAATTTTTTGTATTTTTAGTAGAGATGGGGTCTCTCCATGTTGGTCAGGCTGGTCTTGAACTCCCAACCTCAGAGGATCTGCCTGCCTCAGCCTCCCAAAGTGGGATGACAGGCGTGAACCACAGTGCCCGGCAGGGAAGTGTTTTAGGTTCCTGTCTGTGGAGCGTTTTCTTGCTCTGGATGAAGGTGGTCTGGGGAGTTTCTTGGGTCCTGTGGAGTTGGCGAGCTTGCTCTCTAGGTCATAATTTTAAGTGGCCGGGGTTGCTGTGTCAGTGTGGCCTGCGCCTCATCATTGGCATCATCGTGCTCTATGCCCTGCAGGCGTGACCATTGGCACCCACGTGCCCTCACAAGCCTGAGCCATGAGTGAGGTGTCTGAGGCCAGCGTGGGTGTGGTCCAGGAGGGTAGCGTTGACCCTGAGGGGCCTGGAGGCGCCCCAGGAGTGGGGCTCGGTAGGAAGGCTGCTCACGGTGGAGTTGGACGTGTGGCGTGGATGGTGCTAGGCACCGCAGATGGGGGCCTTTAGGCAAGGGCCAGAAGGTGGCAGGGGTAGGGCCCAGGCGTGCTGAGGGGCTGTTGCCCTGGCCATGGCCTTGGACTCGTGCCCCAACTGGACCCGCCTGCTGGGTCTCAGGACCCTGGAGATGACTGGGTGGGTGGAGACTCTGCCAGCAGCTCAGAGCACTCCAGTTGGAGGGTGCAGCCTGGGGGAGCCCCTATCCCTAATAGGCCTCGTGAAGGGGGCTGCTGAGATTTGGCCAGGGGCAGAGTGAGAAGGGGGTGGTGGCAGCACCTCTGGAGAGCAGAGGGAGCACCAGGGCCTGATACTCAGGGCCCTGCTGTGGGCAGGCCTGGGCATGGCGTGGGGGGCTTGAAGCTGCCAGCCTGGGATGAGGGTGGGCTTTGCCCAGGGAGCCCCTGTCTATGCACCTCTCTGTCGCATGTGTTTTGAGATGAGAATGATTTGCATGCATTTCTATTTGTGTAACTATTAGGGGAGTAGGTGCGAGGATGGAGAAGGTGGGAGCCTCGCCTGGCGGGCCCCTGAGGGCATGGACGAGGTGGGGCTCCAGGGACCTGATGGGCACAGGTTGGGGAGAGACAGAGCCACCGCAGGGCCTCAGACGTGTCTGTGAGGTGTCTGCTGAGAGCCCCCTGGGTAGGCTGTTGTCGGAAGTGGAGGCACTAGGTACCCTCCCTGGCCAGCCCACCGTTGGCTGAGACAAGGCTGTCACCTGTGAGCCCTGGGTGTCTGAGGGGCTTGCTCAGGTGTCAGGTGCCCACCAGCCTGGTATGTCGGGGCTGGGCAGGGCCAGGCTGTGTGTCTCTGGTACCAGCTGGGCAGGGGCCGAGGAGAGCTGAGGTACCAGCTGGTTGGGCCAGGGTGGGCGTGGGCAGAGTCTGAAGAAGGGGCCCCAAGGGCTGTGGCTGGTGTAGAGAGGACAACTGCTTTGTATGCTCTTGGGGATGGCCAGACCCCTAGCACACGGAGCCCTCGATGGGTCGGTGGGACGCTGCCTCCCAGGTGACCTGCTGGAAATGCTTTAAGCCTGTGTCTTTTCTATTGCAGACTTTAAAAAATTCAAAAAGCCTTTGCTCCCTCAATTATGAAGATGACGACGAGGATGACTCCCCAGTGAAGACGGCTCTGCCTGCCCCAAGTGACTCCTGGGGCCTCCCGGCCATCGCCATGCCTGGCTGCAGCCAGATGGGCTGCAGGACCAGCCCCGGCCGGTGGGCCTCGAGGGAGTCTGTGGCCGGTGATGGCTCCAGCAGGAGCAACGGGGACCCCAGTGACGGGGACAGCTCCGGGGAGGAGGGCGTCTTCCCCAGGGCCCGAGAGGAGCTGGACCTGGAGCAGATCGAGAAGAACTGAGGCTGGCGGGAGCTGGCTGGGGCTGCGGGTGCCCCACCTGCTTTGGTGCACAGAGTAGGCCTCCCGCTGCTTTGAACACTGAGGCATGATTTTCATTCCGCTTTCCCAAAGAAGCATTTCGCATTTTTATGGCTTTTGCAGTTTGGGAGAGAGCTTCTCTATTCGGGATGCATTTCAGAAGGGCGTTCTATTAAACAGATTAGCACGGGTCTGCATTCCTCATGAAAAGCCTGCCGTGCAGGGCGCCTTGCGTGCTTTAGTTGCTGGGAAACCCCAGGCCTGGTGGTGAGGGCCCCACTGGCCCTGTGCGTCCCTCTCTCCAGAGGGTCACTATGCTTGGGACTTGCACCAGGACGTCTGTGCCCGTGCACCCTGTCACCCACACGCCAGCTGTGGCTGCCTGGCTTTCTACCAGTGGCAGTGAGGCCGTTTGGGGCAGGCCGAGCTGCCATGAGTCCATGGTTCCTGTGGCCTGGGAAGGCCCGGGCGCCTTTGGGTGGGGCGTGGTGCCTGGCCTTTGGGAAGGCCGTCCTGCTGGCCGCACCCGGCAGCACCCAGTCTGAATTTAATAAAAGGCGCTTGCTTCGCACTGTGACTGATGAATTTTCATTTCCACCAGTTGAAGTGGGCCTGGCTTCGCCTCGGGCCTCTGGTCTGGCTCAGCACCAGCCGGGGCAAGGGACTTCCATTCTTCCTCCTGCACTTTTAACAAAATCATAGGGGTTTCGGGTTTGCAATAGCAAAAGAAAACATTCACAGTTTGGGGGAATTTTCTTGATTTTTTCTCCCCCAGGAAAGTTCACGGAAAGGTATTGAAGTTGGCCAGTGCCACTTTCGTAACTGATGTGGGCCGCAGAGCAAAGGTGGGCAAAGGCGGCGAGTGCTGTGGTCCTGGATCAGCCTTCCTGAGCCGAGCTGCTCTGGTGAAAGTGAGGTTCTGCCCTGCGAGACAGAGGACGGGGCTGGGGGATCTGGGGCCTTGGCAAGCAGGAGCCCCTCCCTGGCCAGGCCCTGCCCTCCTCCGCTGGGGCAGTGCCTACTCCTGCTGTGCTGGCTTGGGGTCAGGAGCCCCTCTGTCCTTGGCGGGCCCTGGGTGGCTCCTGTGCTGAGGCTGACAGAGCAGGAGCTTGACAGAGCCAGCTGGCCCCCGAAGTGTGGAGAGGCTTCGGGGTCCTGAGGGTGTCACCTGCTCCCCAGAGCCACCCCTGGCCCCATGTGGAGGGAAGGGAGGCCTCTGGCATTGGACTTTGACGCAGCTGCCAGGCTGCACGGGGAAGTTGTGTTTTGGGTAAATTTCTGGAGATCAGCCCCGGGTGATGGAGCAAAAGCCAGTCGCTTGTGTAGTCAGGTCGCCAGCCAGGGCGATGGGACGTGGGGTGAGGTGAGCAGCGCTCGGAGATGACTTCGTAAGGGCAGGGTCTTTCAGATCAGAGCCCGGCTGTGGGGCCGTGGTGACCTCCAGGGCACTGGCCACCGGCCTGCGGGACAGCCGTGGAGACGGGGCTGTGGGGCTGGCATGGTGGTGTCAGGCCTGCCAGGGTCCCGCTGCGCCCTCTGCTGCGGCCGGGGAGGGCGTCAGAGACAAAGCAGGGCATCGGCTGTGACTGCAGAGGGCCTGGGGTCCCCACCTGGGCCTGGACCCTCTGGGGCGGCTGGGGCCCTGCCCTCTTCCTACAGTCACTCCAGGGCACGGCTGTGAGGCCACCCGTCGTCCCCTCCTGCTGGATGGTGACCCAGGTTTGGGTCATATCCACTCTGTCACCTGAGTCTAGAACAGTTCCCAGGGGCTCTCACCACCTGAGTCCCCTTCAAGGACAGGCAGGAGGAAGGGGCCCGTGACTCTGCTCCCACCCTAGCCAGGGCCCTTGGGGCCCTCAACACCTCTGAGCCTGGCCTGGGTGTGTGGGAATGAGGGGATGTGAGGTGAGCTGGCATCTGTGTGTGGAGTCACCGCCCCACCTCTCACCCTCCGACTCTCCCCTTCCCTTGATGAGGCTCTGGTCCTGCCCACAGCACTTGGATTTGCCACCTTCCCCCCAAACCCTCAGGGCTTCCCCACCCATCTCACCTCCTACCCTAGCTCACCTCATCCTTCCCCAAACCTCCATCTCTCCTGGGCAGGACCTTCCTGGCTGGCTGCTTAGTGAGGCTGAGGCCCAGGGCAGTTCCCCTCGGTGCCCTTGGGGTAGGTCGTCTGGGACCTGGGGTGTCGGTGGGGTGGGGCCCCTAGCGGGCAGTGCGGCCAGTTCTTCTGCAGTGCAGACCTGCTGTGTCCTCTGGGTGGGGAGACTAAGATGGAAGGTCCAGGGCACCCTTGGGTCCCCCCATCTGCCTGGCACAGGGTGGCGTGTGTGTGCTGGGAGTGAGCTCACAGCCCGGACCCCAGAGCTTGTCCCCAAGGGTGTATTTTCCCTGGGAGTGTCTGTGTGTCTCTTGGGATGGTGGCCAGGACCCTCACTGGGGACATCTGGGTCCCTTGGTTGGCCCTGTGGGGTCTCCTCGCTGAGGCCGGGGGCAGCCTGGGGTGCCGGCCTGCTGCCTTGGTGGATGCACGGCCCCGGGGATGGAGAGAAGCTGCTGTTGAAGCTGCAGGCAGTGCTGGTGGGGTGGGGACTGCTCAACTGTGCCCCCCACGGAGGGCCTGGGCTTGGTCCTTCCTCAACCGGCCACAGGCAGGTGGTCCCGGGGCCCTCTGGAGGGACCTTAGCACTATGGGCAGGTAGGCGGGGACTTGGGGGGCTGCAGCACAGCACAGCCCCTGGGTCTCTGGAGCCTGTTTTGGGCACCCACCTCAGTGTCAGCCTCTGCAGGATCCTCTAGATTGGGCTAGGCCATGTCTGGGCAGAGCTGGTAGGAGGGCTGGGGTTGTGCCTGGGCCCCTGGGGCAATTCCCTTCCTGCACTGGGGGCCTGGGAGGCCACTCCTCTGTCCCCAGGCTGGGATGCTCCAAACAGGCCCTCCCTGCCCCTAGCCCCCAGCCCTGCAGCCTCAGCCCACCCCCAGCCTGCCCCCTCTCCTGGGGCCTTCCCCACTGCAGGGCTTCTGTCCCTGTGGAGGGCTCCTGAGGGGAAGGGGCTGAGGTGAGGCAGGGTGGGGATGTGGGGATGAGAGGGATGGCTTCCCCACCCTTCCCTGGGCATCCACCCCTGTATCTTCTCCTAAATACGCCTCCATCCTTTCCCAGGCTCCCTCTGCCCCTTGAGGACCAGCCTCACCGCTGCTCCCTCTGGCTCTACCCAGAGCCTCTGAAGACCCAGGGAGGAGGGTATGGCCTGGCTGGGAGCCTCCCTGGCAGTCTGGGGTGGCAGTCTGTGTGCTATGGCCTCAGGGCCAGCCATTCCCCATCAGTCACAGGGCCCGTTCTTGTCCAACCTCTTGTCCCTTGTCATGGGTGCCCAGTCCAGCTGAGAGCCCTGGGCCTCCCTCTGCTGAGAGCTCGTCTGCCCAGGAACTCCCCAGGCCCAGACAGCAGTGGTGGCTGAGGTGCTGGCCCTCGCCAGGTGGCACTCCCCAGGAGAGGGGCCTGTCTGTCCTTTGCTGCAGCGGTGGGAGCACCTCATTCTCACGTTGGCTGCTCCGTGTGCAGCTCAGCCAGTGCCCTGGGGAGGAGGGGCAGATGCCAGGGCCATGGGTGACCGCTGGAGGGGACTGTCACTGTTCCAGCCCTGCAGATGGGATGCCCCCAGCAAGAGCAGCAATTTCATCTTTCTTCCTGGTTGGCCTTTGGGAGGAGGGAGGGAGGTCTGCCTTGAAGAGCCTGAGCCCCATGCCAGCCCCGTAGCCTCCCAATGCTTGGCCTGGCCTGGTGGATGCAGACATGGACCCCTCTGATCCAGAAAAACCCAGGTGCTGGGCAGGCATGCTCTTGGTCCTCTGACAGGTGGATTGACCAATTCTTGGGTTCTGCTCTAGACTCAGGAGGTGAGGGCATGGGATCTGGGGAGGTGAGTTTCACTCAGGACAGCTGGTGTGAAGGCCCAGAGGGAGGAGTGAGCCAGGGGCCCGAGGCCCTGGGCTCAGGTGGGGAGTGTGCGAGTGAGGCCACACGCAGCAGGAAGTGTGACACGTGAGGACGGATGGGAGCTCCCGGGAACTGGGCAACGCCAAAGTTAGCCGTCTCCAAAAGTGATACCGCTATGGCAAACCCAGCCAATCGCAAGGAGAAATTCACAAGCCCACTATCCTAGGCAGAGGTCTCGGTCATGCTCTCTTAGTGGATAATCCTTCGAGTAGACTCAAAAGAAACAAGAAGAGGACAGGCGGTTTGATGGTGCTGGCTCCTGAGCTCGAGCGGAGGGGCATCTGCGGAATGGGCCTCACCCAGCCGGGAAGTCACATTAGCTTCAGGCACACATGGAGCCTGTAGGAAATGGACCATTAATAGGCCAGAAAGCAAACGCCGGTACATTTCAAATACTGTTGGATGGATCCTATTTTCTGACCACAACTCAGTAACAAAAAGCAAACAAAACCTCATGTGTTTAACAACTTCCAAAAAATATACTTCATGTAGTAACTCATGGGATATAGAAGAAATCAACAGAAATGAGAGGACCCAGAACTGGGTGATCGGCGTAGCCGTGCTTGTGCAGCGGGTCTCAAGTGGTGTGTAGAAGGGAATTTACAGCCCTCAATTTCTGTATTAGAAGAAATAAGAGTGAAAAATAGCTGAGCACAGTGGCTCATGCCTGTAATCCTAGCACTTTGGGAGGCTAATGGGGGGAGGATCGCTTGAGCTCAGGAGTTTGGGACCAGCCTGGGCAACACAGCAAGACCCCATCTCTACTAAAAATTAAAAAATTAATTGGGTGTGGTGGCTCATGCCTGTAGTCCCAGCTCCTTAGGAGGCTGAGGTGGGAGGATCGTTTGAGCCCTGGAAGCTGCAGTGAGCCATGATCACACCACTGCACTCCAGCCTGGATGACAGAGCGAGACCCTGTCTCAAAAACAAAACAAAACAAAACCCAGAAATGAATGAAACTGACAACAAAGCCAAAGCAGAGAAGACCCACGAGTTATTTGTTTGCTAGACTAAATAATTGGCACAAGTCTTTTAGCTTGAGGAAAGGGGAGACTGAGCAAATTGATACTACGAAGAATGAGAAGAGGCAGAACTAGAGACGCAGCAGCGATTGTAAAGATAGTGAGAGAATATGATGAATGACTTAGAGGAAATGGACAAATTCCTGAAACAAATATGGCCAAAAACTGACTCAAGAAGAAAGAGAACCTGTAAATAGTCCTGTAGCCACTTGCCAGAATGAACAAGTAGTTTAAATCTGCCTTCGAGAAAGCCCCAGCCCCAGATGATTTATTTTTTTCTTTTTGAGATGGAGTCTTGCTCTGTCACTCAGGCTGGGGTGCAGTGGTGCGATCTCTGCTCACTGCAGCCTCCGCTTCCTGGATTCCAGCAATCCTCCTGCCTCAACCTCCTGAGCAGCTGGGACTGCAGGCTTGTGCCACAATACCCAGCTAATTTTTTTTGTGTTTTTAGTAGAGACAGGGTTTTCACCATGCTGGCCAGGCTGGTCTTGAACTCCTGACCTCAGGTGACCCACCCGCCTCAGTCTCCCAAAGTGCTGGGATTAC